GCTTATCATTGATGAGTTGTCATTTAGATTTGTGGACAGACAAGGATTTAGGAAGTTTATCTCTGTAGCTTGTCCTAGGTTCCAAATTCCTTCCAGATGGACAATTGCTAGAGATATCTACCAAATCTTCTTAGATGAGAAATTAAGTCTGAAAAGGTTGTTTAGGGAACACACTCAGAGGGTCAGTATAACAACTGACACATGGACCTCTGTACAAAGGATCAATTACATGTGTATAACTGCACATTTCATTGATAATGAGTGGAAGCTGAATAAAAAAATAATTTCCTTTATTCCCGTGACTTCCCACAAAGGAGAGTACTTAGCTAAAGCCCTAGAGTCTTGCCTAGTAGATTGGGGTTTGAAATCTATCTTCACTGTAACTGTTGACAATGCAAGCAGTAATGACACTGCAATTGGTTTTTTTAAAAAGAAGCTTTTATCTTGGGGTGCCTCTTCTGTAAAAGTTAAGTACCTTCATATGTTAGAAATTCTCCTGCTAGGCTTCAAAAATTCAAGGACATTTCAGACTTGATTGGAATGGAAACTAAAGCAGGATTGCACCTAGATGTCCCAACTAGGTGGAATGCAACCTATTTGATGCTCAAATCTGCAATGTCCAATGAAAAAGTGTTTGAAGCTTATGAGGAGAATGAGAGTTCCTATCTTGTTGATCTGGGGAGTGAGAGTCCTGATGTTGGGGACTGGATTGCAATTGAAACTTTGGTGGTCATTCTTAAAAATTTCTATGATATGACAGTTAGGATTTCAGGCTCTCTTTATGTCACTGCAAATACCTTCTTCTCTGAAATATCTGATCTGTTCCTTGTTCTCAAAGAGATGGTTGCTTCTGAAACTGAATCTGTATCTAATATGAGGACTAGTATGAAATCCAAACTGGACAAGTACTGGGGTGATCCAGAAAAAATGAACATGCTCATTTTCTTTGCAAATGTGCTAGACCCTAGAGACAAATATGAGTGCATGCCACATCAATTGAATGCTTTGTATGGCGATAAGATAGGTGAGGCATTCATATGTGCTCAAGATTGGTTGAGGATGTCAAACCAGTCTGTGTCAGTTGAAGAAAATATTGAGGAGGTAGAAAGGCTGGAAACAGGTACTAACTTTTACTTATATAATATTCAGTGTTTATATTTATACATATTGTTAAATTCTTATTGTTTTCAATGCAGAATTAATTGATGGAAATGTTGGTGGAGGCTCTTCTCTTGATCAGATAGTAGTATACTTTTTACCTTTATCTTTTAGATATGTAATATATTATATTATTATTTCACTAATGATTTGCTATATATGCTTCTGTCAATGATCTGGTTGTAAAAGCCTAACCATGTTGCTGTCATGGCATTGGAAGTGTTGTTGATTCATTGGTACAATTTCTCCTGATTACTGTGTTTGTACTTTGCCCAACAAGACATGGTAATCTTCTTTCACTCTTGAGTTAATTGATTAAGTGTAGCATGTATCTGACAATGATGATAGCTTCCACCAAAAATGAAATTGATGGGTTGGTGTTGATTCCATTTCCATATAGTTTCGTATGCCCCCATTAATAGTGAAGTCAATTTAAATCTGAGCCAAATATAACAACATACATGCTGCCTTAATGGAAGTACTGGAATTTGGTAATGTGAACATTGAGTTAATTGATTAAGTGTAGCATGTATCTGGCAATGATGATAGCTTCCACCAAAAATGAAATTGATGGGTTGATGTTGATTCCATTTCCATATAGTTTCGTATGCCCCCATTAATAGTGAAGTCAATTTAAATTTGAGCCAAATATAACAACATACATGCTGCCTTAATGGAAGTACTGGAATTTGGTAATGTGAACATTGAGTTAATTGATTAAGTGTAGCATGTATCTGGCAATGATGATAGCTTCCACCAAAAATGAAATTGATGGGTTGGTGTTGATTCTATTTCCATATACTTTCGTATGCCCCCATTAATAGTGAAGTCAATTTAAATCTGAGCCAAATATAACAACATACATGTTGCCACTTAGACAGTAAACTGGAATTTGCTTATGCATATGTATTTATGACTTCTGACTTATTAGATTAATTGTTGCATTATTTAATCAGTAATGATAGTTTCCACCAAAAAATTAAATTAAGAATACAAAACTGAGTCAAATTAAGGATATGTTGCTTCCTGCCTTGGTTTTACTACTGCAATTTTCCTATGTACTTATGAATTATGAGTTCTTACATGAATTGTTTACTCAATTAGTTATTTTGGCAATGAGGATGGCTTCTAGCCTTCTACAGTTCTACCAGAAAATAAAATAAATGGGTTTGGTGTTGATTCTAATTATATAGTGATTAATGCCCCCATTATTAGTGAACTGAAATTAAATCTGAGCCAAATCTTATTGTATTTCTATATACTTTTGAATTGTTTATAGTTCCCACTTCCCAAGTTCCCAGAAAATAATAATGATAATAATGACACTAAACACTTCCCAGTTTAGTGTTTTATGATACTAATGTGTTTGTGACTTACATAGGAACAAAATCAATGACTGTTCGGTTGATGATCTGCGAAATTGATGAAACCTGGAATTCTGGAAACACTCTAGTAGACTAGTAGTCAAGTAGATGTCAAGAGTCAAGATCTGAAGACTTGTACATCAATTGAATGTTGTTAAACTTTTTGTTGGTACTTGCTGTTTTGGAACATTTGATTGCTCAAACTCTAAATGTTAAACTGCTTTGTGCATAAGCAGTATAACTGTGTAAGTGTTAATGTATGAGTGTATAAGTGTTAAGTGTATAAGTTATAAACTTATAACTATTAGCCATGTGTTTGGAGTTGTACAAACTCTACTAATTTTGCAATTGCTTTTGATAACATATTAATATGTATTTTATTTGTGTTTGTAAAGTCTAATCCAACATTTTTTTTTCAAGGTGATTTTATGAATTATTTGTGTTATGTGTTTAATGGATTTAATCAGCCCGAATGGCCCCGAAAACCGATTAAAACCGACCCAAATCCAAAATTGTGCAACCCGATTAGACCGAATTTTTTTTTGGACGGGGTAGGGTTTTATATTCTCAGCCCGATAACCGAAAGGGTATGCAAAAACCCAACCCGTCCTACCCGAACCCGTCCGACGCTCTCCCCTATTTGTAACTATTTCTCAATATAATATGACGATTTTTTGTGTGCCACATAATTTTTTGTCATGAAATGTGTGATTTCTTGTAGTGATCCACCAGATTGACATAGTAAGAAGGCAGCGCTACTTTATTTTGGTTGCCAAATAATCCATGCCCCTACATATACAATAGACCTAATTTAACAGCATCATGCTCCACAATTCCCTCATCGTTGCAGTTGTATCGAGTAAAAGCATCTGAGATGTTTTTTCGAGACACGTAGCTCTTCCCATTGAAATATCTCTTCCACAAATCCCCCTGCACACCATCTTTTATTTTTTCCTAGCCTCATCCATCCTAAAAGATGTCACCAGAGCAAAGTCTTCTTTTGTAAATGATATCAAACCATATCTAATGTTAAATGTGATCTTCTCAGTCTCTATTATGTGGTTGACCTCCTCAACATGGTTCCGAATAAGCCCCAACAACAACTGGCCACTTACCCAAGATATAGACTCCACATCCAATGTCCATCCAAACATAGTTCCCCTAACCTTTGTAATTTCTTTTGCACTCAAGTACATTTTAATCGCCTTAACCGCTTCTAGCAGATTACAATAGCAGTTAACCCTTAATTTCTTCATCTTAGACAAAATGTCCTTCTCACAGGATCTCCTTATTGCCTATGAACAATATATTCCAATAATTAAATAATATTAACAACAATATGATGTTCTACATTCATCATTTCAAATCAATTAAATGACATTACATTGATCAATTCCTAAATAACACTAAGAAATTGTCAATATTTTAAAAACGGAGAATGATGGAAATAAATTCTACGAACAACTCATGAAATTTTGAAATATGTGAACTGTCTTCACTCGTACATACACATTGAAGTTAATAAACTCCATCGCACTTGTTCTCAAGTAAAAAACTCAATCACACTTGTTCTGTGCATAATATTAAACATGCAAATACAACACATTGTAGTATCTAGAAATTAGGCTTAAAACATACATTATTACACATTTTATCACACATTTGAAACTAGTTTTCGTAAATGTAAACCAGAAATACATACCAGCTTTGTGGTCATGGCGTTTCTTCGTTCTATACTCGTCCAGTTCGTATTGTCCATTGTTGACGCCAGTAATGGTGCTTTACTCTCAGCGCCAATCTCTTTGTTCTTACTTCTCTACTCTCAGCTCCAATCTCTTCGTTGTTCTTCGATTACGCTGCGGAATTTTGGGGGATGAGGTATGGTTTGTTTTGAAAGTAGAAGAGACTCGAATAACTGTATGCACATTAGAGAGGCACGTATATTCAGGTACGGGAAATCTTGCAACGATGCATAATAGTTGAGGGTATATTTGTCCATTCATAGCTCATTTAGTCCGAGCGAAAAATGACTTTGGAATTGGTCCCAATTTGGAATTTATGAAGCTAAATAGTCCCGTTTTGGGAAAATTCCCTTAATTTTATGTTTGCCAGTTTGGTCCATTTGATATTGGTCAATTTCTCCCATTCAAAGCCTTTGTGACTGTGTCTAAAACACAATGTATAAAAGAAGAGAAAGATATAAGCATACCATAACACAACATCAAAATGGGACATTTGAGAATTTTGGATGTACATTTTTTGTGGAATGACCATTGACAGTTGGAGCCCTCGAGCTCAGAGGGCCGGAAACAGTCTTGCGGATTTAACGCCTTAACTGACGGCGGGACCCAGCATAAATAGCAGTGGCATAATTGCGAATAAAATAACCCAGCAAGGGTGAAATTGGAACGAAAATACAAGTAAGCCTTCCGCAGTTCCTTTATATAACGGCATCGGAGCCTTGTGTCTCCTCAGCCTCAGTTCGTACTTCCGACTCACTGTCGGCACTAACAGTCCCTCGCCGTCTCCGACTCACCTCCACATTTTCCGTTCGAATTATGGAAAGTCGCGGCTTCTTCGCGGTGGCGCTCGTCGTCTCCTCCTCTGCTTTCTTTGCTGCCGCCGGCTCCCTCCGCCATGTCGAGGACCCAAACTGGTACCACGCCGCCGCGACTTGGTACGGAAGCGCCGAAGGCGATGGCAGTGACGGTACACTTCTCAACCTAGTTCAATGATACACAAATTTGTTTATTAATTGAAAATAAAATTGGAATTTTGCCCTTGTTTTCCTGTTTTTGTTTTCTAAATTAGAGTTTGCGTTTCGATTTCTACAGATTTTTTATAGTGAGTTTACCCCGAATATTACTAAAACTAAAATGTGTAAACGAAATGTGGTTACTGTTAAATGAACCATTATAATGTGAAATCCAAGGCACTAAATTACAATTGTAGAAGTAAAGTGTTGTTAAGACTCCATTTAACTTCAGACCAGGAGACTAGTTTGAGATCTTAATATAACCGTTTATTAGCATCATCACTTTTCATAGTCACACACCATAATTATTGAGCCGTTTATTAGTTCGTATTTTAATATACTTCGGAGTAATTGATTTGAAATGTGGAAAATTTGATGGGAGAGCAGGAGGAGCATGCGGGTACGGGACCATGGTGGATGTGCAGCCGTTGAGGGCGAGGGTGGGAGCGGTGAGTCCGTCGCTGTTCAAGGAAGGAGAAGGTTGCGGTGCTTGCTACAAGGTGAAATGTCTAGACCGTACCATTTGTTCGAGAAAGGCAGTGACGGTCATAATTACTGACCAAGCCCCTCAGCGTTACAGTGACAGGCCCCTTTTCGACCTTAGTGGCGCCGTTTATGGCCGCATGGCTATCACCGGCTACGGCAACAGCCTCCGCGATCGCGGTGAGATGGCCATTATTTACCGCCGGTACGTGGGTACTCATATTATTTCATACGGAGTATACTATAGTGTTCGTACTTCTTCTTTAGGTAACGCTAAAATTGACTTATTCAGCTGACTCTGTTAAAATTTATGAAGTTCTGGCTGAAGTAGTTGAATTGACTTATTACGCTGAGTTATGAAAACAAATATTCCTTCCGTCCCGCAATGAACTTTCCACTTTCTTTTTTTAGATGTCCCAGAAACAAATTCTCATTTTCTTAAATGGCAAGTTAATCTACGTCAAAACAGTGTCGAAAGTGTGCAAAATAGTAAAATTTACCCCATTGTAAGTTTATTTTCTTAATATGTGTGTAGGTCAAACAATTCAGAGCGTAAAACCAAAAGTTACGTCTTTGGTGAAAAAGTTGATCAATAAGTCAGATAGGCCGAAAAATAGGGTCACCCGGCGCGCTCTTTATTTATATACTATCTCGGTCTTACTAACATTGAGACATTAGAAAAAAAATGAAGTTTACGTAATTGATATTAATTTATAAAGTAAACATATTTTGAAACTATACAAAATTTACTAAATTTAATACTCCGTATTTGATATCATTCAATTTTTGGAAAAGAAAAAACAGGAGAATCTGAAGTGAGTATAAGTATAACACATACGGCAAAAAAACTTTCCCAAATGACCTTGTTAAATGCTTGGTATTGGTTAGTCAACGGTCTTTCTATTTGGAGTTCCTTTTTACACTTTTGACTGTTTTTTTCTTTTGTCCTGCTTTCTACGAGTAATTCTAACTTTTTTAGTACATTTCTATGGCGATATGTTTTGCTTACATCACTACACAGTAAATGTTTATTGGAGATTGAAAGTTCTTTTATATTTGCTCATTTTGCTCACCATTCTTTCCTTCAAAATTACACATAAGGAGTATTTTAAAAATAAAGCCACACAAAAATTTACATGCACATTCGGCACATTTAATTCATACGTGATGTTTATCTAATACGGAGTAGATAGCAAAAAATGAATCTGAATGTAGCAAAAATGTTCACCTTCTCATTTATTATTTGAATGATCTGTACTGTTTTTCAGAGTATTATTCATAAAAGGGATTTTGTGCATGATTAATTAAAACACAAGGGGGTTTGATGCATATTTTAAATAACAGGGAGCTAATGAGTCAAATTTCTATATCACAAGGGTGTTTCGTGTATTAAACCATGCTTTTGTTATTATTACTGAAAACTATGATTGTGATTTTTGATGTGTATGACAGATGTTGTTAGGGTGGGGGCTATGTCTGCCTATATTTGACATTTTGGTTAATTTAGATGGGGATCTTCAATTCCTCTCATTAGAATTATTAATTCGAACGGCCAAAGTTAGAAACACGTGATACATTTTCGTCATTACGTGCTAATTGTGTGCAATTTCTGTGTACATGGTCCACTCCTAGTCAAATTTTTTTCTAAACAAATCTCTTTAGTCACTTGGTTGCTTTGTAACTTTCTAAAGAGTAGGTGCATGACCGTTGACCACACCTTTTCACATGGAAAATAATGCTCTCCTGCCCACTAGTTTAAGCAGTAACATTGTAGTGTGAATATTCACATTTCACACATAAATATACCGAGTTTTATTGAACTTGGCAAAGTGTCTCTCATAATATTAAGGTACTTATTATATAATAAGTTGAAGCTAAATTGAAGGTTGCATGCAGGACACCGTGCAAGTATCAAAGAAAGAATATTGCCTTTCGTGTGAACGAGGGGTCAACAGGTTATTGGCTTTCCCTCTTGGTTGAGTTCGAGGATGGAGATGGTGATATTGGATCCATGCACATCCAACAGGTAACTAATAATTTAATAACATCAGTTTATGAGTATATGTATATGTATATATACCAAGGGCATAACGTAACCAGGAATATATATTGGACTGAGCGAGTGCAAAGAATACATTTACATAAATTATTACATGATTTTTTACTCTAATAGTCAAACATTTTTTGAAACTTGGGGTGGATCTAGGCCTAACATTGTCTCCCCTTACCTCCGCCCCATGATACACACACATATATAGATTTACATATGTTAATCATGATTAATTTAACACTTAGAGATTATCATGAACTTTAAATTTTTTATATTGTAATAAAATTTAAACACTATTTAACGTTTTGCTTTTTATAAAGTTTCCGGTGAAGAAAAATTAATCAAAATTGTCATAAATAACATATTAAAGAAATTAAAATCTCTTACCGGGGACATAGCCTCACTCTCTATCTGCCAATTGAGATTATCGTTCAACTTACATCCTTCCAACGTACCGTCCGGTCGGGGTTGGGGGGCCTTCAGGGATGAGGTGTCATCCTTTTTTTAAAGAAATTAAAATCTTTGATATTTTAAGTCTTTGATTGATGTTTTCAAAATTCAAGGCCAAAATCGATTTATTTTCGTCATTGGTTATAGTCATCAACGTAACTAAGCCTTGAAGATAAAATGTTACTAATTTTTTATTCAGCTAACCTTAGTCCCATTATAATTGAAAAAGTTTGTAAATAATTAGGAATAAAAAAGGGATTGCAAATTTTCTCAAACACGCACATTAAAAAGTTGTTGATTTGTTTTTGTTCTGGTCCATAATCTTTTAACACAAAATTATCATGATTAGGTTATAATAAGTTTAATGAAATATTGAAATGTAAAAAACAAACTGTTAGAAACAGAGGGAAAAAAGGGGAAATTATTGCCATCTTCTTTTCTTTCCATTCCAAACATAGCCTAAGTTATACTATCCCGAAAAAAACTCCCAGCATCCAAGCCTCTCTTGAAGTTGAACACATTATATGTCAATATATTTTCCATGGGATGAATAAATGAATGAATGAGTAATATTGGGTGCAGGCAGGGTCAGAAGAGTGGTTGGAAATGAAACACATATGGGGAGCAAACTGGGTAATCAATGGTGGACAGTGGCCTTTGAGTGGACCATTCTCTGTAAAGATAACGACGCTCTCAACCGGAGCAACACTCGCTGCAAGAGGCGTTATTCCCCGCAATTGGGCTCCCAAAGCCACTTATACTTCACGCCTCAACTTCCGCATCTAATATTATAAATTCTTATATGACACGGGTTTATTCAATGATGGAAAGCGCGACAACTTTTCACCACGCAATAAACACTTGTCATATAACAATGCAGAAGAAAATGTGCATGTATGGTTACTCTTTATCAAAGTATGCCTATGTGGTGGCATGGCCTGTGTGTTCTTCCTTTTTTTCTAATTTTAAAGAGGAAAAAGGTGGTAGGGCAGCCATTATCTCTTCTTAGTTTTTTGTTAAAAGAAGAAAATAATCGAAAGTAGGTTCTTTATTTGTGTCTTTTCCAGCTGAGTTACCCGTGTGTGTATCTATCAGATGGGGTGGAAGCCATAAATAGAGCATAATATGTAGAGCCCTCTCCAAAGGAGGGTGAGCTCTCTCTTCATTCTCATCTTCACGCAGGGTCCTACATCTAGCTATATATGAAGCCATGTTGTTTGGTGGGTGAGAGTTTCTGTTTGTGGGTCCTTTTTGTTTTCCAATTGTAAGCTCAGTTTGGATTTATGGAATGGATTATGTTTCTCTGTTCTTGTTTTATCTACTCCTTATTTATTAGAGTTTATACATGTATGCAACAAACTGAACAAGTAGTGATTGATGTGGGTCCTTTTGCATCTAATTTAGAGGGTTGTTCACATTAACTTCCCATTAGCTTCCCACTCTGTATGCCAACCAAGAACTGTCACGTTAAACAGAAATTCAGCCACATATATTGGGTTAAGAGGATGCATCATTAATTCATTTTGAGTCAAATATGTAGCCATTTCTGGGTTAAGAGGATGCATCAATCATCATTAATTCATTTTCAGCCACATTAAACTTTACTGAATTTTGGTATACAGTTCTATCAAACATCTTGGTATCTTATCATTTTTACAGGAATTACTACTCCGTGTTATTTTCTTCTCTCCAAGAATTCTATTATACAATGATAACTTATTTACTCTACACCTTAGGCCCCCTAGCAAAATCGAAAGAGAGGGAAAGTATATAAAAATATACGTAGTATAATGGGATGTGATACCATGATATTTATTAGCACACATGCGCCAAACATTCATACAAGTGTGAGGTGAGTTCTTCCAAATAAGAACTTTAGTTTTTTGTTTGGTTTCAAAACTTTTTTGTCAGGGACCAGCGGTTCGATATGACGTGTAAAGGTTGGATTATTCCTGAATAACGATAAGGAGAGACTATCGTAAGAACACCGTCAGTGGCGGCTTTGAGGGCAGTTGGGCCAGGCAACTGCCTTGGGCCTCAACTGCCAAGAGGGCCTCCAAAAAATTCTATTCCGGTATTAGTATTAGGTGTTATTTGTTGACCGCCAATACATCGAGCGATAACTGCAAGCAGAAATCGGCTTCATAGTTCACGTCTGACTATCCTTCCTTCATCAAAGTTGTATCTAATGAAGTCTTCTATCCAACACAACTTGCAAAACTGGATTTGAATCATTCAATCAAAATATATGAATAAAATGGTGGAAGGTCGCATTCTGAAATCTCAACAGAGATTATCTGACTTCATCGTCTGTTTCACCTTGCTTCTCTCATATTCTCGCAATGGTGTTTTCATATGATTTGTAGCCCTTGAAGTTGGTTTAATATGAACCTTGAATGTTGTTCTTTGGATGTTCCTAAGAAAATATATGTTTGAACGATTGATAGAACGTCACCCTGACCGCTCTTTTCAAGCCCATATTCGTCTTCTTTTTATCTCGCACCTAATTTTAGAGCTCTTTTGTCTTCAAAACTTTGTCTTTAACACCTCACTGACCTCCAATGCTCCTAATCAACTCTCAAATGTTTCTCAACTCGTCCCTGTTGCTTCTCAAACGCCGGTGTCGGACTCCAATTCCCTGATTTTGACTCCAAAAATACCAAAACTCGAACCAACGCCCGGTAAATATGACTTGAGCTTAAAATTGAGACTTATGACACCTTAAAGTTAGGAAAACCTATCAAAAGCCGATCCCAACGCCAGGAAAACTTATTAAAATTTCCACATTTAGTCCCCGAGTATTATCACTTTGACACTTTTAGTCCTTCCACAATGATTTTGAGATAATAAGTGTAGGACTAAAAATGTCACTCCTATAATAGTTGAAGGATCAAAAGTGCCACTTTTATGAAAGTCGAAGGCCTAAATGTGGAAATTTTCAAAGACGGGTACCAAAAGTGTCTTTCGCACAATAGTCGAAGGATTTAAAGTGGAAAAACTCAAAGTCGAGTACCAAAAGTGTCAGTGACATAATAGTCGGAGGACTAAAAGTGGAAAAAACTCAAGAAAAAATAAGTTGAGAAAAGATTTGATTATATGATCAACCATTTCGACAGATATATTAAGTGGTTTAGATATATTAAAGTTTTAGCTAGTCCTGATTACAATGATGTTATTACTGATTTTGCACTTCAAAAGGTATGAATAATAGGCCAATAGGGTGTTACAAGTATAAGTTTGACTTGTGTTTTGCATATGTTTGCATTTAAAAATTTATCCTTTTGAATATTACAAACATTATATCGTGAACTTGGAGTATGCTTTTTTTCATAAGGTGATTTTTATTCATTTTATCTGATTTTAAAAGTGATTTGTACATAGTAAATATTTTTCGTCTGGGGCCTCCGAAATGCTCAAGCCGCCTCTGAACACCGTTAAAAGGTTAGATTATTAGTTTTCATTTCCCTAAAATAGGAAAAAATGTAGGCATCTTTTGCCGCTTCAACAAGCTCCCAACACCACCAGCTCCGACATCCGTAAAAAATGCCAACATGTGTTAGTAAATAAGTGTAAGTAAAAAGAAAGTAAAGTAAAAAAATATATAGTGCGGTGAGAAAAAGATCTTTTATAAGAAGAAAACAAATCCAAAAAAATTAATAAAAATGAAATTGAAATAATAAACGAGAAGAAGAAAAAGAAGGAACAATAAGAAATCCAAACAGGGGAATAAAAGAGTGAAGACGATAAAAATAAAAAAGAAAAGTTTTAAGGAGAAAAGAGAAAAATGATTTATGGGGCCGCTTGGAGAAGATGCGTGAAAAGTGGCATTTATGGTTGAATGTTTTGCAAAGAAAGTGGAAAAAATCTAAAATAACAGGTCATTAAACGATCAGAGACCAGCGGATGAAGATGAGGTACAAAGGTCGGATTATTCCTGAATTACGATAAGGTGAGACTATTGTAAGAAGATCATTAAAATGTTAGATTATTAATTTCCATTTTGGAACTTATTCTCAAAAATATCTGTATGAAACAAAAGAGTTGGCTAATACGGACTACGGAGTATCATGTTCGTTACTTTGAAAGTAATAAGTATTTTCCTTTCAAAAAAAGACACAAGTATATTGGTATATTTCTGAAAAAAAATGTATGTTAATATACAAGAAAAGTTGCCAAGTTTTAGTCATGTTTAGGTAATTATTTGATTTATTGCATGATAATAAACTTATAAACTGTACATAATGTGTTTAATTTAGTTTGATTTTATTCGAACTGTTTACTTTTATATTTTTTATTGGTTTTTATTCGGAGGCAGAGGGTCATGTAACTAAGATTTTATTTATTTAACCTTCGTCGAGTTTTATTTGTTATATGGATCAACTAAAATATTAGAATTAAGCAGGATCGTCTTTTAGGATGTGCAATAGGATCGGCACCGGTGTTCATTCTTGTAGAGGACCTCCAAAAAATTAGAGTGTAGTATTAGTTATATGTTGATTTTTTTAGATGTTATGTAATATTCAAGATTTCTAAAGACATATAACCTTTAAATTCTCTAATTAGTGGACTTTAAAGCTCATAAAACTTATGTAGTATATTTCATGGAACATAAACAAATGATCAAAGGCTTTCATCAATCACATATATTTTATTTGTTATCAGTGGCCTAGTGGGATGCGTAGCACTCACCTTCTATTATATTTTTGTTTTCATATTACTCTCTATCCTTAAAACTTTATCATTTTTAAACTTTTTTATCAATGATGCCCAACTTGCACTTATATTAGTACTCCGTATTTTTTAACAGGAAATTATTTAATATTTATAATAATATGAAAATGTTCCATGTTCTTTTATTTATATTTTTCACTAGTACAAAAAAGCCTTTTCACATCACCTAATCTACATGTGTTATTTCAAAACCCATGTGAAATAGTGACACGGGGTCATTTTTACAGGTTTTAAAAACTTTTTTACATTGGTTTTTGCTATAACCGATTTTAAATAGTAAAACGGGGTACTTTTTAAAATTTTACTAAATATTCTAAATCGGTTATCTTTGAAACCGATGTGAAAAACAAACGGGGTACTTTTCAGAAATACCGAAACTTTATTCTAGATGGGTTAAAACCCATGCGGAAGAAATATAAAAATATCTGCTCAGTTCCACTTCAAAATTTTGTCACGCCTGATCGATTGCAGACCTAGAAGGCAACCTGGCGTATGTGAGTGCGATATCTCTCTCTGGTAGCGTCGGTCTCACGCCCGAAGCCTGTGCGGCAGCGATGCCGCCGACGGAGGGACACGAACCGGGGGCTGCTCCAATCGCTCAGTCATACGCAACAGCGGTAAGGGATATCCTCCCCATCCAACGACTGCACTGTCAACAACATCTCTTCTCTGATGTGGACTTCAACGGAATGCCGGTCAAATTGCCCAGCCGATTTAAGGGTTTTCCGACTGTTTCATTCACCGGAGATGACGTTAAGGTCCTTGCCTCTAAATTCTGATTCGCCCTAGTTGGGGCCTTCCCACTCAAACGACCACCCGTCTCTGCTATACGAAAAGCTATGGAAGCGGTTGGTTTTTCCGACCATACTCCCTCGGGCTTCCTCACTCGCACCGAATTCTGGTAAATTTCCGCTCAGACTCTGATTTTCAAAGATTTTGTCAGAAAAACACTTGTGCAGGCCACCAAAAATGTTATAATTGCTCCTTGTGCTCCTGTTATTGGTAAAGCAACTGCCCAGGCAGCCTCCAGTGCCCCTGTCCCTTTACTTAAAGAGTAAAGCTAGGTTTCACATATTGATATGTAAAGCAACTGCCCAGGCAACCTCTAGTTCCCCTATGTCCAACAAGTGGTATGAACCAGTCCATTGATCTTATTTCATGCGATACTAAATTCTACCCGTATGGTGGCCGTTTATTTCCTAGTTGCTGTCTATTTTCTCTGTGTTGAATTTGAATTGGTTGCCATTTATTTCCTCTCCTACTGCAGCATCTACCTTTTCTTCCTTACTCCTAGGTCAGCTTCTGTTATTTGGGTTCAGGCTTACAAGTCAGTTGCTTTTTTTAGTTATTTCAATTAAAATTAAAGCTTTGTTGTGTGGGGACTAGGTGATGTTGGAACATGACACATACAATCAGTATTTTCAGCACAAAAATGGCTTTACCTTTTTGGTTTAAATTGTAAAAATGTTTGCTAATTCTATATTTTTGTGTTTGAGTGAGCATTTCTGCTTGTTAGAACTTCATATGTAGAAGTTTAGGAACTCTAAATGTAATCGTTGTTATCTCACTAGTCTAGTATAAGCAATTATCTAAATATGAGTACCTGAAAAGATGAATGTGCTATAACGAATGAGTTAATTCAAATCTTGACATGATTGTTGATGGGTGACCTTTGGTTGGACTTTATCAGGAGGAAACACCCTTGCGCATGGTAAATGCATCCGTAAGCTCGTCCGACTATCGGCGTATTAACATTTTCATCAACTTTTATTCAGGTA